CTCCTCTCTCTTCTTTCTCTTCTCTCTCTTCTCTCTCTTCTCTCTCTTCTCTCTCTTCTCTTCTCTCTCTTCTCTTCTCTCTCTTCTCTCTCTTCTCTCTCTTCTCTCTCTTCTCTCTCTTCTCTCTCTTCTCTCTCTTCTCTCTCTCTCTCTCTCTCTCTCTCTCTCTCTCTCTCTCTCTCTCTCTCTCTCGTTATGATATGATTTTTTTACTTGCATAGCTATTGTAGCTCCGTGGGCCTCTGTTCGTTCATTTTATCCATTCATTCTCAAACATTAACTGAGCACCTCATAGGAGGTACACTGCCAATCACTAGGTTATATCTGAAGGTGGACCAAGGAGCAGAATTTACTCCAAGCCTTTTAATGGTGGAAACGGATTTAAGAGTGCTCAATTCTGATGTTCAGGCCAACACATGCCTTATCTTGTTAGGAAAATGGACTAGTTGGGGAAATGAAGGAGGTAGTGGGAATGTGATAGGACTAGGGGGGCTGTAGTGAGGAGCTAAGGAGGTGAACAGGAGGGTGTATGTTATTTTATTCGTTTTATCTTGTTTTTAGCACCGAGTAATGGGATGGAGCATGGGGTAGCGGGGAATTACAAAGGTCTACATACGTGTTGATGAGGAGTTTAAACTTCTTGAAGCTAGTGTGGACCTGTGGTAGTACGTAAAACCTTGGATTTACGTGAATCGCTTGAGTTTCAAGATAGATGGCATTCTTGGCATAGCCTTTGCAAGGCTTTAAGGAAAAGGAAGCTAGTGAGGTTCAAGTCCAAGGACAGTAGCACGTTCGTTATGCAGGAAAGAACCCACCCCTCCCCCGGCTCTTTCACACAGCCCAGAAGCCAAAGGGCCCAAGTTGCTTTGCATATGGTTATTTCACTTTCTGCATATTGTCATTTGGAAAATGGAATTGTAAAGAGCCCTGATCACCCATGATTTGTGTAACCTGGCCTGTGGTTACATCTGAAACTCATACAAACATTGAAACAGTTCCAGGTGCTTCCTCACTCCCTTCTGTAGTCTTCCATTTCTCTGGGTAGTTGGGGGTGGGGTGGGGGGAGGTGGTTCCTTGAAACCATTGTGTGGATCATGTACCTACAATATGCTAGTGTCCTAGACGGTGTGACAACATAGCTCACTTATGCAGGTAATCTTACGGAACACAGTGGATCTTAGCCAGCATAATCTTTGTCTATTTAGTAATTAGATGTAGAGGAGTGGAGCCATTTTTACATTTAATTTTCCTCCCTGTGAAAACTTCTGTATCAATTTACAGTTTTGCATCTTAACTTCTGAGGCAGCCTGAGATAGGTGGATACTGAAAAACACACACAAACCCACTTTTAAAATAAAAGAATGTTCTGCAAAGGCCTTGTTTATAGAAAATAAGACACACTTGTTTTCTATTTTTACTTAATGACAGCAGTCATTAAAATCCTCATAGTAACTAATCAAAACTTTCATTTTGAAATATGTCAGGGCTCATTTTTGTCACTATTACAATTCCTGAAGAACTTACGGAATATTTTTGGTATGTCTTGGGAAATCCTTGGAAACCTTGCATTACAGAGGTGTGTGTATGGGTGGTGCTTCTTAGCTATTTGCCAAATGAAAGCCATTCTCTTTTGGTAAAAGTTGGGATCTGTAGATTGATGATAGTTTTCCTACAGCATGGTGCTAAAAGGCCTAGGTTATTTTATCCCAAAAGATACATTATGCAAGTTCAAGTAAGGAAAGACAATGGAAGTATATAATGTCTTGTAAAATTCTTATTTATTTATTTTTTTGCTCTTTGTAGAACTTATGCACATTTACTACTTATTAAAGGGGAAGCACAGCTCTGAATGTCCTAAAAAAGAAAAGATGTAATTGGGTGTCACCACGGTCAGTCATCCATGTTATGTTAAGAAGGTGTCAGCTCTCCTTGCCCTTTCAGAGCTGTGAGTATATGATGTCCCGAATTTGACTTCAAAGCTCATTTTATTTGACTTTCATAGTTAGAATTTTTCTTGCTCAATCTTTTGCCATCTCACTGATAGAGGGTTTAGAAGTTGTGCATAATCTTTTTCTTAGTTCTTTCTTGACTAAGAAATTAAAGATACTTGTTGAAAAATAGCCTTTATGGGTTGATTTCTCTTTTGGATTTTTGAGCCAATATACAACAAACTAGTCAGGGCTTAGCAGAGAAAAAGAGAGTACCTGGGAAGTTTGGCCCCAAATTTCTGAATTGGGATAGAGTAATGTAAAGAAACATGACCGGTCTTGATTTTACACAAAGTCATTTGAACATGTGTTTATTTCCACTCCTTCATATACCCACCCAAAGGCACTGAAAATGTATAGCCACACAAGGGATAAATGAATGCAAGAAGAGGTAGAGCAGATAAAATATATCAACAAAACTCTGGAAGAAAGAAAGGAGTGCTAGCTAACCAATCAGATATAACAGGCCCAAGAAAGTGTAAACATCAGGCTTCAGGGAGAATAGTTGTGAAGAAGCTAGTTGATTGGTCATAGGACCTTGGAAAGGTTCAGGGTAATTCTGAAGGTGGGATAGACAGAGAGCTGAAAGGACAACTGGTTGACACCTTCAAAGGAACAGGTAGGCTCCCAGGTCACTGTCAGACCTCTGGAGAGGCTTACTCCTGGTTCAGGAGCAGCATAGCGGCTGGCCAGCTGAAATGCCCTCTGGCAATGGAGGAAAGAGGAGCCACACTGCGTTTTGAACGGTGAACTCCTTAGCCTCTAAGGTAAATTCAAGGAAGTTTCTTTACTTTTCAAACGTGTACATATAAAGCACCAGTTAGTTCGTCTATGATTGAGAAGTTGGAGGACACGTTGAAAGGAAATCTACCTTGTGAATTGGGACTTCAGATTGAGTTTGTTTTGTGTTTTTCCTGCTGGCGGAATTGGAAAAATATACACTTTTCCAGTTTAGACAAGTTCTACTTGTGTGCCATTGCCGTTTCTTAGAAAACTGTTTATCAGATTAAATAAGATTCAAAAGAATCTCTGAACCCTCACAAATCTGAGATGTGTTGGCTAAAGGCTCTGTCTAGACAAATGGAGGCTCAACGTAGGTCAAAATTAGCTGTGTGGAGGTATATTTATTACAATTAGCAATTATGTGTATATATGTATAGAAAAAGTATATATGCACGTGTTCATGTAGGTTTATATGTACTATTAAGATACGAAACTCTATTTCAGGCCTGTGCTTATGTGTATAAAAGAATCAAGTGTAACAACTAACTTCTAGGTTGTACTGGGAACAAGCCTTCAGAAGTTGATGCAAGTTTCTAGGAGTTTGAAAGCTTGGTTCTGACCTTTTAGACGGAATTGCAATATAGATTATTGAATCACAGATTATATAACTTGAATAGAGCTTTGATTTTTCTCATTTTACTAACAAGGAACCTGAGATCAAAGGTATTAACCTCTTACCTAACTGAGTTTCTAAAAGGAAATGTTGCTCTAAAAAAAGAATCACGTGAAAGTGGTATTGGCAAGGGCATAAAGCTCTGACAGTTAAGTTGTAAAATCCACTCACAATTGATCAACTCATACATCCAGATTTTACTGTGTAAAAAAAGTATTTTCAGATCTGAAGTAGGACGTAAAAATTCCTGCCATTAATCTAACTTTGGTTGCAAATATCTGAGAGAAAGTGTCATTAAGGAGAGTTAGACAACCTGAAATAGCTAAAGAGATTAAAATGACAACCACAACAAAAGCAAGTTACAAATGCCAATTTTGGCCTTGCTTATTCAGATTCTTAGTGTTGGTGGTGGGCTGGGTGGAGGTGGGACTTTCTCTGCTAATACGT